TATACTAAGTATGACTGCAAAGCTGAAACATCCCTTAAGGAAAAGTTCTGTGTAAAACTGGAGACTGTGTATATAACTGTGGCCTCCAGTATGTGTCATTGTTTAAATAAGTAAGGAATTCTCAAGTCCACATAGGTTAAATAAATGATGTTGATCTAATAATTTGCACCCCCTAATTCAAAAGTACTCAGTGTGTATTATCATTTTAAGTACTGAAAGTTAAATTATCTCAGTGTTTTATCTTGTTGTCTTATTTTGTGTCCATAGTTGAGTTTTTAAGTAAATGGAATGACAGAGGTCAGGTTGCTTTCCCATATGATACTCTGATACTAAAAAGTACAAGTTGCTTCATAGTATTTTCAATCCTGATTGTTGATATTGCAGTATTTCCATGTCAGTGATCTGATCTTTTATGGTTGTGCTTTGGTAAACCCCAGTCATCACTTTTCTTCCTCTGTGATTATTTCATATTTACAGTTCCCTTCAAGCTTCCTTTTTCACCAAGACCCCAACCTCCTATACTAAACAGATGACATTCCCTTGTGTGTGTGTGTGTTTTTTGGCTGCAATTGGTCTTTGTTTCTGTGTGCATGCTTTCTCTAGTTGCAGCGTAGGGGCTACTCTTCGTTGGTGTGAGCAGGCTTCTCATTGCGGAGGCTTCTCTTGTGGAGCACGGGCTCTGGGGGTGCAGGCTTAGTAATTGTGGCACACAGGGTTAGTTGCTTCGTGGCATGTGGAATCTTCCTGGGCCAGGGATCGAATCCATATTCCCTGCGTTGTCAGGCAGATAACTATCCACTGTACCACCAGAGAAGTCTGCCATTGCCTTTTTGATTCATGGAGAAAATACACGTCATGAACACATGAACAGTCATAACATCATTCTCCATAGTCTCTTTCTTTACATGTCCATTGTTTTCAGCTTTCTTCCTTTTTTTTAGAGGAAACACTTTTTTTTCCCTTGGTTTCTAAGGTTAACCCGTCTGCTTGTGCTCTTTATATCATCTGTATTCTTTGAGATCTTGTATTGTCATTTATGCTCATTTGGGTATGTTTAATTTCTCAGTGTCTTTGGGTTCCTCTTCTTAGCCTATAACAATGATTAAGTTTCTTCTACCCTAAGGTAGCCTTCCTTCCACAGGGTTCCCCTTGGAGTTGCTATTCTCACTTCTCTCAGTCCCTCAGTCTCCTGGATCTCAGTTATGCTTTAAGGAAACTAATGTTTCTAAAGTCACGCAGTAATAACAATGATGGTGGTACTGGTATAAAAAAAAACTTATTATTTGAGTTCTGTTTTTGTGTGCCCAGCACTGTTTTAAGTAACATACTTGAATTGTCTTATTTAATTCTCACAACTTCATGAGGTAGTATATTGTAAGCTTTGAGCTTGCACTCAAAGCTCTCGAGTTTTTTTTTTTTCCATTTATTTTTATTAGTTGGAGGCTAATTACTTTACAATATTGTAGTGGTTTTTGTCATACATTGACATGAATTAGCCATGGATTTACATGTATTTCCCATCCCGATCCCCCTTCCCACCTCCCTCTCTACCCGATCCCTCTGGGTCTTCCCAGTGCACCAGGCCCGAGCACTCTCTCTTGAGTTTTGAACTCCATTTGCCTGGTTTTGAATCCTAGTTGTATTGCTTACCAGCTGTGGATCTGTAGATAAATTATTCAACTTCTCTCTCTTAGTTGTCTCATCTATACATTGGGAATAATACCTACCGGCCTACTTCAAGAAGAAGAGAGATGTAAAGAGATTAAGTAACCCAAGATCACATAGATTTGTATGATTTGGCGTTAGAATCCAGATGGCTCTGTTGACCATTTTGTTCTCTTTTCAGTGTTGTTTTTGACCCAGGTGATAAAAATGTGTGGCTTATTAATTTTCATTCTTCCTGATCTTCCTATAGCAATTGACAAGATTTCCCCTCTTCTCCTCAATAAAACGCTTTTCTTTGCTGGTTTCTATATTACTGGGACACTGATTCACCTTGTACCCCCAGTGACATCTGTTTTGTTTTATTTTCACCTCTTTGTGTCCACTCCCTAAATGTTATTTGTTTGAGATTTGCTTTCCTGTCTTATCCTTCTGTATGAACTTACTGTAGGATTAGAATTTTAGGTTATGAATTCCAAAATCACTAGGCTGGTTTTCTTTCTCCTGAGTTCCAGATTCTTGATTTAAACTTGAATGCCCTAGAGGTCTTAAATTCAATATAGTGTTGACTCTGAAGTATTGTAGTATTGAATATATCACATGTAAGCCGGTTCTAGGAGCAGGGAAAAATGTTGCTTCCCCAATTTTTGTTCACTTGCCCTTACATAAATACTTTTTGCAGTTTATTTCTGTGAAAGAATCTTTTAAATTGATTATTTTATGAGGATTAGATTACCTAAAATGAAATACTATCCTTAAAACCACTTACCTAAACTACTGTACCTCATAGTATGCGGAAAGAGAATCGAGAGTGTGAGTATGACTGTCAATTGCTCTGCATCATGGAGACCTTTGGTAAAGTACGTGATACATGACAGCTGACATAACAAAATGAGTGAGGATGCCAGTGTCAGTTTATGCATTGAATATTAGTAAATCTTACCTTGTTACTCCCTTAGTTTTAAACAGAATTTTTACATTATTCCCCCCCACCCCGTATCCTAGTAGATCATTTTATGCACCATCTAGGATATGCATAATCAACTTTGAATATTAGTGGTATAGTTTTTAGGGTAAGGGCTTCTTTGGTAACTCAGCGGTAAAGAATCTGCCTGCCAACGCGGGAGATGTAGGTTTGGTCCCTGGGTGGGGAAGATCCCTTGGAGAAGGAAATGGCAACCCACTCCAGTATTCTTGCCTGGGAACTCTCAAGGACAGAGAAGCCTGGTGGGCTACAGGCTATGGGGTTTTAAAGAGTTGGACATAGCAACTAAACAACAACAACAGCACCCAAAAAACAGTTTTTAGGGTAAGATTAAACTGCTTGGCATGGTATAGAGATTTCTCTGCATTTTTGTTTTATGTTTCCAGTTACTTTTCAAATTTGTGGCCATTTTCCTCCTTGTATTAATACCTTCATTAAATTATTCTTGAATAGTTTATTCAAAGCTCAAAATTCTCTAAGCTAGGTTTTAATAGTATGTGAACTGAGAACTTCCAGATGTTCAGGCTGGATTTAGAAAAGGCAGAGGACAAATTGCCAACATCTGCTGGATCATAGAAAAAGCAAGAGATTTCCAGAAAAACATCTACATCTGCTTTATTGACTACGCTAAAGCCTTTGACTGTGTGATCATAACAAGCTATGGAAAATTCTGAAAGAGATGGGAATACCGGATCACCTGACCTGCCTCCTGAGAAATCTGTATGCAGGTCAAAAAGCAACAGTTAGAACTGGACATGGAACAATGAACTGGTTCCAATTTGGGAAAGGAGTATGTCAAGGCTGTATATTGTCACCCTGCTTATTTAACTTATGTGCAGAGTACATCATGCAGAATGGCGGGATGTCATGATGAAACACAAGCTGGAATCAAGATTTCTGGGAGAAATATCAATAACCTCAGATGACATCACTCTTAGGCCGGAAAGCGAAGAAGAACTAAAGAGCCTCTTGATGAAAGAGGAGAGAAAAAGTTGGCTTAAAACTCAACATTCAAGAAACTAAGATCATGGCATCCAGCCTGATCACTTCTTGGAGAATAGATGGGGAAAGAATGGAAACAGTAACAGACTGTTTCAGAATCACTGCAGATCGTGACTGCAGCCATGAAATTAAAAGACGCTTGCTCCTTCGAAGAAAAGCTATGACCAACCTAGACAGCATACTAAAAAGCAGAGGCATTAGTTTGCCAACAAAGGTCCGTCTAGTCAAACCTATGGTTTTTCCAGTAGTCATGTGTGGATATGAGAGTTGGACTACAAAGAAAGCTAAGTGCTGAAGAATTGATGCTTTTGAATGTAGTGTTGGAGAAGACTCTTGAGAGTCCCTTGGACTGCAAGGAGCTTAAGCCAGTGCATCCTAAAGGAAATCAGTCCTGAATATTCATTGGAAGATCTGATGCTGAAGCTCCACTACTTTGGCCACCTGATGTGAAGAATCAACTGATTTGAAAAGACCCTGATGCTGGGGAAGATTGAAGGCAGGAGGAAAAGGGGATGACAGGGGATGAAATGGTTGGATGGCATCGCTGAGTCAATGGACATGAGTTTGAGAAAGTTCCTGGAGTTGGTGATGGACAGGGAAGCCTGGCGTTGCTGCAGTCACCTCTTGGGGAGCTTTCCCTGAGACGGTAGTACAGTATAGTGGCTAATGGTGTAGGCTATAGTTGTTGATGGAGATATCTATGTGGATTTTAATGGAAAGCTCTCTCGATTTGAACAAACTGCTGAACTTTGATGTGCTTCATTTCCCTATCTGCAAAATCCAAATAATTATACTATCAGTTTTGCTGAGTGTTGGAAAGATTATTTTAATAGAAGTATACATATGAAGGTCCTGGCGCACAGTGAGTTCTTTATAAATGACATCAGCTGTTGTTAATTCTAAGTGTTTAAAAAGTGTTATAATGTTAGAATCAAGACTTATAAAGTTATTTATATCACCTCCACGAAGGTATTATTAAATTGAAAGGGCATTTTTATTGTTGATGGCATCATAGAATTAAGGAATATCTTGGTGGTTGCTTTTCTTGTGCTTTTAGCATTCGTATGTATTTGTCTTAGGATTTTTTATTTTATTTATGTAGCTATTATTTTTTATCTTGCCCATTTCCCCTTTTGTCTTATGAACTCCTCCAGAGTTAAGGGTCACCTTTGTCCCTGCAGTGTATAAATGTATCATTTGGCACATAGTGGACTGCCAGTAGATATCTGAAAGAGCTTCTTTCTGGACTGTCACAAGAATGTTTTCCTCATCAGGCTTTGATCTTTTTTTTTGCCTGCTGAGTGTTAATTTGACTCCATTCAAATATGGAGTCACTAGATTTGTATTTTGGTATTCTTCAAGCCCACATCAACTCTTGGTTAATTTAACATGGTTAATATTTAACTTATAAAATAATTCCTGAACATAAAAGTTAAATACAAATGGAGATTCTGCTTTTATTTTGCAAGAACGTTTGCTGAAGATGACCATAGAGGAGAGACGCAAAGAATACATAAGGGATTATGTTCGCCTGAACACCATCCCATCGTGGAAAGAGGAGATGAAGGGCAAGAGCCAAAATGATGGTAAGTTTCTCAGAACGTTTTTTCAGGTGGATACCTTTCCTATTTGTTTGTGACCTCTGCAGGACAATTGGTGATAGAATGGAATAACTAGCATTTAATAAAGAGATGTCATTTTTGCTATCTGAAATAATTGGTTGTCATTTAATTGTTTTCAGCAATCTACCCTGTGTTATTTAAACTTAAGAAATTGTATTAACATAATTCATGTTCAGAAGTATACCACATTTATGTGGTACTTTTTTACAGTTACTTAAACTATTCTACAGTAGTGTTTGCAGCAAATTATATTAGGGATATGCTGCTTTGGTGAGATGGCATGTTGAGTTTGTTTTGATTGGGTTCATTTTTAAAGTTATTTTAAGAATTGGTTACAGTTGAAAGAGTGTATTAGGAAGAACAGAGAAAACCCAAATAACATTTCATGTAATTTTAGAGAAGAGTTTATGTGTTGTATGATATGATATGCTTACCTGTTAAGTATTTGTATGACAAAGTTAACTCACTCTTAAAGTTTTTATGATCTAATGAGAGTCCAGATTGTTTCAGGGAAATATATGTGTTAGAATATAAATGAACTATTAAGTATTAGAAAGGTATATGGAAACAGTTCTAAAAAAGCATAAGAGATTTGATGGATGTTTGACATATTATCTCTGAATGAGTACTCATTGGTGTTAATAGTCTGAATGTGAAATTTAAGAAGAAATGATGTTTTTTAAGGATATATAAATATTGAGAATGAAAGCTAATTTTATGAAAGGGACTTAGAACCTTCTAATTTCATAGATTGTGGTATTAGACTGGGGCTTCCCTGGTGGCTCCAGACAGGGAATTAATAGAGTATACTATGGACCCAGATCAAGAAGACTAGCATGGAATTCCTATGGGTAAAATCTGTGGGAAATAGCAGCCAAATTAGCCTTTGGTGTCTGTGCAGAGAACACGTTTACCTCAGTGTTTGGGCTTTAGAGAGAATTTTGTTCTTCTAGGAAAGCAAAGCCTGTGGGTTCTTTCAGAGCTTACTCTGCCTGGAAACATGTGTGACCTTGGGCAAATGAGGTAGTGGCTGTACCCCCAGTTCTTTTGGGGTCACTGAACAAGCTGATTGAGATGTACACATCTGACCTGCTTGCCCAGTGTCTTCAGCAAATGCAGTTTTTTAAATAATGGTTGAATTAATACATCATTGAGAGAAGACAGTGCTGTGTAAAGAAAAGTGTATAGATCAGAAGGACAGATTTCTGGGCCTTGTCTGAACTAGGGCCATGTGTCTCTTCATGTTTTGGTCTCTTTTTTTTGTTTGTTTATGAGAAACTGATAGTGAATACTTAAGCTTTACTTTTTCTGACAGGTGAATCTCTCTTTTACTTGTGCTTCATTTATCTGATTTTCTTTCTTCATTGCTGTTGTAGGTGGTCATTTTCTAAGGATGATGATCTATTTAAATTTTGCATCCTGAAACAGGTAGATTTCTGTTGCTGCCAGAAGAATTGAAAAAGCAATAGTGATACGTAGGCTGCACTACCCAGTTTTGGGTCTGCTCATGTCTGTGTAGAGGCTTGGCCTTTGTGTTGGTTGCTGTATTTGACTATTCAGCGTGAGAGACTTAGGGTTGAACTGGGTTGTTAGAGAACTCAAGAGTTGGGTATTTTCTGATACCACAGACCAAAATATTTCCCCCAATCAGAGAAGATACATTGAGTAACACCTCACATTGTTATTCCCTAACAAGAGTCTATTATTTAATCATTTCTCCCAGTATGAGCTCTGTAAGTGATTTACAACTGCTGTCTATATTTCATTTGTTTCTTCAAGTTTTTTGAATGTGAATGTTTTTCATGAGGAACTAGGTGGTGTTATCAGAATTGTATTTCTGTTAAACAATGTTTTATGTCCATTTAATGTTACTTTATCGTGACCCAGAAATTGGTGACTGGTCTCTTCTCTTTTTCATGAAATGGAATAATACTGCTAATTTCTTTGCATTATATATATCTTTCACTGTGATTTCTTCCAGTGTTACCTATCCAGTGCTCAATTATACTGAAACATTAGTCAAGAGAGTTTTGGTATTTTATTAGTTTGAAAGATCCTTTAAAAATATAAATCTTTGAAAAATGATAAAGGTCAATTATATAGTATATTTTTATATTTTAAAGTGTTTAAGCCACTGCTTATAAATGTGTATGTATTAATATATAAGTAGGTATTGGTATTTATAATAATTTAATCTTTTAAGTATAAGATTTCAAACTAAGTTTTAAAAGACATCTGTTTATAAGTCTATGCCATTTAGTTTCTGATTTGTAGGAAAGGAATAATATTTGTTGGGCTAGCATAAGCATAATATTCCAATTTTAAGTTTAATAGTTTATTGCTTACTATCTGTGTTTTTATGGAAGACCATTTTGGCCTTGATGTCCATGATCACATGGAATGTTCTCAGGCTATTGTTTAAAATTGTTTTTCTTAGTTTTGTTCAGTTTTTCTTTAATTAAATGCTTCTTATTATTTTATTGTAATAGACATTTAAATAAAAATGAGGAGAGTGGCCAAATGTATTTGTTGTAATTTTAAGCTGTCTTAACAAAAGGAAACCAAAAATTGCCAAATAATATAAAATCAGTGTTTCTGCAGAAAGGAAGAAGGAAATAGATGATATTTTTTACTTTGACTTACTAGTTTGATAATATCAGAAAGCTAGGGACCCGTAGATGGAGAAGGACATGGCAACCCACTCCAGTATTCTTGCCTATAGAATCCTGTGGACAGAGGAGCCTGGTGGGCTGCTGTCTGTGGGATCCCACAGAGCTGGACATGACTGAAGTGACTTAGCAGCAGCAGGGACCCATAGAAGAAAGAATGGGAGATTACCCAGAAGACTGATACCCAGAAACCCATTTGCTTATTATTCATGCTTATATTTGTCAACTACTATTAGTAAATCTCTGAAATTACATGCTTCTGATTACTTCTTCCTCTGGTTAGCAATTATGTAATAATTCTGTTTCTTTTGTCAGTTGCTGTGTTGTAGGGAATTTTAAAATACTTGTTTCTCCTATTACACTATTTCTCTAGCACCTGTAATAGTGCCTTATGCCTAGGTGGGCTAAGTTAGTACTTCTATCAGAATGCCTCAGAGGTTAACAGTCTACAAAGGACAATGCTTTTTTATTTGTTTTTAAACTTTAAAACGAGCACTTAAAAAGATATATAAAAATAGACTAGTATAATGAACCTTTATGTGCCCACCATCTAGTTTCAACAGTTAATAATGATTAGTTTTATGTCATGTGTATCAGTGCTCCCTGGACATTTCTCCCAGACTATTTTGGAGCAATTCCTGTATATCTTACCAACATTATCTGTAAATACATGTTTGTGTGCCTGTGCATGCATCTCTAAAAGGTAAGGGCACATTTTTGTTATTTTAATATAACCACAATACTACTGTACGTGAAAATTAAGAATTCTTTGGTTAAATGTCCAGTTATTATTCACATTTTTCTTATTATCTCATAAAGAGTTTTGCTTACTTGTATGGTTGGTTTGCTTCAGTCAAGATATAGACAAGGTTCACATACTGCATTTAATATATTTCATAAGTCTCTTTTAATCTGTAGTTTCTTCTCTTTCTGTCCTTTTGCCTCTTGCAATTTATCTATTGAAAAAAGTAGGCTGTTTGTCTTATAGAATTTCTCACATTTTGGGTTTTACTCAGTGCATCTTTGTTGTGTCATTTAGCATGTTCCTCTGTCCCCCTGTGTTTCTTCCAAGCTGGTAGTTAAATCCAGAGGCTTGGCAAGACTTGAGTTTTATTTTTTGAAAAGATTACTTTATAGATTATTATACTTCTTTTTGCATAATGTCTGGTTATTGCTCTCTGTGGTGATTAAGACTGATCGCTAGGTTCAGATATTGTCTGCCTAATCCATTCTTTGTAAAGTTCCCTAAAATAATAAAGATGAGTTAGGTGGAAACTATAAAATTATTTTACTCAGGTATGACAAAATAGTAAAAGGGTCATTTAGAAACTTGATATTAACTGTACTATTTTTATTAAATATTTAATGTTGTTTGGAAGACAGGCCACAGTTTAAAATGATTAAAAAGTTGGAAACATGGTATTTATAACAGGATGGAATTTACTATGGTTATAAAAATTGGAAAGGTATGTTTCCTATTATAGTCTTTTGATATTGATTCCTTTTAATATTATTTTCAGTTTGAGCACTATGCTTTAAAAGTAAAATAATCTATAAAAGCAGAGGAAAACTCAGAGCAAAACACCTCTACCTTTTAAGGTAGAAATCTTTTGTTTTCAGTGGGTGGTGATTTTTCCCCCATTTTTTTCATGATCTTAAAATGAATTTAATTAAAAAACAAATATCTTTTTGCCTCAGGTAACTAAGATCACTCAGGCTTATTCTTTTAACATTTATTTGTGAAGTTTCCATTACCTGTGAATATGTTGCCCAAGTAGAGCTTATATTAGAAACAGATATTTTTCACTCCAGAAGTGAAAGGTAGACTAAAGACTGGGCTTCCCAGGTGGTTCTAGTGGTAAGGAACTTGCCTGCCAGTGCAGGAGACATAAGAGACTTGGGTTCAATCCCTGGGTTGGGAAAATCCCCTGGAGAAGGAAATGGCAACCCACTCCAGTGTTCTTGCCTGGAGAATCCCAAGGACAGGGTCACAAAGAGTTGGATATGAATGAAGTGACTTAGCACACACAGATTAAAGACTAAAATCCTAAAATGATCCGAATTCTTCTATGATCTGGGCTTTCTCCTTTTGGCCTCTTATTATATCACCCTTTTTCTTGGTCTCTGCATCTAGCCACACTGTCCTTTCTCTTTCTGGAATGTTCTGTGCTCCTTCCAACTGCTGATTATTTATCTTTTTGTTTTTATCTTCACATCTCAGCTTTCAGTTCTCAGATCGAAACCTTTCTATTCTCCCAGAAATCTTCCCTGAACCTTTACTCTGAAACAGGTTCT